AATTAAACATTCATTGTTTTAAAAACCAACTTAGGGAGCGTTCAAGTATTACGTCACGCAATTTTTGGACATTATTGGACCCCCCATGTAACGCGCCGTAACGTTTTTCTGTACCCAAGTGTAGTAAAACGTTTCGTGACCACCCATTGACTTTTTATACCTAAAAGTTACCATTATGCGGTGTAAAGTACTAGAAAGTCGATAATAATACTAACAATAACGCGTAATTCAATCCCCGCCCCGCACCGTTTTACAAAAGGACCCCCCCCCCCAAATTCGTTACGTAATACTTGAACGCTCCCTTAGAGACAAAGCAAGATTTCCCACCAATTTCTATGACGTCACATTTTAAGCACTTTTGACTATTCGTTTTGTAGCAAGGTTCTTATTACAGAGTGAGCCTATTTGTATACCTTTGCGTGGGATCCGTCTTGTACGCAGCCAGTTGGGGACTTGAAAGTATAGCTCTTGCCGTGTCCTGCCACGCCATTGCCCTTTCTGTCACGCATTGCAACGCCTCACCCTCTGCTAACCGTACTGGGAGTTTTTGTAACCATACCTGAAGGAAAATATTTTATCAAATAAATACGTCTGCTACATACATATTTTAACGTAGTATATAATTAAACAAAATTTAGGAGAATAAAATCCTTCCAAATACTTGAAAACATTATTTTGCTCCTATTGCAATTCGTGAATTTCAAAAGCTAAACCGATTTTCATTAAATTTGCACTGTCTTATATATACCTACCTTTAAAACGAATCGTTGATATTACGTATTTATTTATTAACACTTCGTTACAGAAACATAATACAATACAATTGACATAATTAAATGAAAAGGAGCACAACTGGCGGCCTTATCGCTTTCGAGCGATCTCTTCCAGACAATCACTGTGAGAAAAAAAAGAAATAGATAAGGTAAGCAAGAAGTGCAAAAATACATAATATAAAGTTATTTAGATTATGGTTCAAAATTTTTGGGGTTGGACATTCACTGATTTTAATATTTTAGCAATAAAAACATGTTACACGAAAATAGTAATATTCTAATAATAAAATCGGTTCAGTAATTTAAGCTTAAAAATTATTCATTACAAACGTACCAAAATTCAAATAATTTTATTTTGTTACTTTAAACTAAAAGTACTACTCGATACACAATCAACACCATACTGTTCTTACCAATAACGCAAGGATGCGATGTAGTCGGGGCCGTTTCGTTCTGGTGCAGTCTGGACAGAGGAACTTCGCTTCTGGAGACGGGAACGGCAACTCTATTGGCTCTGGGCTTTCTTCTCTATCTTCTGTTTCATCACGGACAGCTGATATACACGATGCTGTAAATACAATTATAATAAATAATTTTGTAAAAACTTTTAATTTAGTTAATTCGGACTATTCAGCCTGGAAAAGTTAACTCGGGTCTGCCTTTTGGGTTTTAATTGAAGGATATTTTACATAATTTATACATTTATACTGACAGCTATGATTGCACTTTAATTACGGTCATCAGATAAATTCTGTCTCAACAAAGAAACTGAATAAAAATATCGTAATATCTAGCCATGGGTGAATAAAGTAATGAAGTTTCGTTAATGAATTGATATTAACTGTAATTGCAATAAGATTTATTTCAGTGATCCGAAATCATTAACCACTGAAATAAAAATATAATAAAAATATTATAACCCCGATTGATGAATAAAGTCATATAAAGCTTCAAGGATCTTCCTACTAGAGTTTTAAAAATCGACTTAATGTACGTCTTATGGATTTTTTAATTTAAATTAAAGACTATTTGCGTGAAACATAATTAATATTCATTTATTTATTTATTTTTATTTATTTATTTATTTCCATATAATTATTCTACCTTTACAGTGATAACTAATTCGATAGAACAAAAGAATATTTTACCCACACCAATTAACCTAAATACAAAACATTAACAGAAATATATTTATGTGCCTAAATCTTATAACTAATAATATAGGAAGCAACTATTGTGAACTCAGCCAGTGTACAAACAAATAAGTCTACCTTAATAGAAATCTTATTTATTATGTGTATTGCTCGCGTGAGTGGTGCTTCGCTAACCAAGTTGGAATGTGCGCGCGGTACATCCAAAAGTTGAGACTTCCGCCTCAGGTTTCTACTTGGTACCCGTAGACTCAGTCTCTCCATTATGTCCGGATTATGAACCCGACCCGTAAGTATCTTAAATATATACACCGACAAGGCTAGCTCTCTTCTGAGGCGTAGCTGGTCATATCCCACCATACCCAGAACAAACAGGGTCGGGTACATAAGTGGATACAAAGGATACACTCCATACAGTCTCATGTAGAGGTACCGGGTGAATTTATTTTGTATTCGCTCTAGCATGAGACTGTATTTAGCCTCATATGGGGCCCACACCATTGCATTGCACTCCAAGTGACTTCTGACTAACGCATTGTATAAGATTTTAATCGCATTGATATTTGTGAAGCCACAAGCTATTCGCAATATGAACCCTAAATTTCTGTATGCCTTTTTGCAAGTCTTATCGACGTGTTGCGCAAACCCAAGATTGGCATTAAAATATATTCCTAGATCTTTAACCTCCGATACTCTAGCTAACACTAGACCACTAATAGTATAATTGTATCGAGTGGGAAATCGTGCTCTCGAGAAAGATATGACTTTGCATTTCGCCAAATTAAACTCTAATCTATTTCTCCTGCTCCAATTTACCACTTGATCAATGTCTTCCTGCAGCCGCATACAGTCGTCTGTACTTTCTATGGGCATGTAAAGTTTGATATCATCAGCGAAGAGCAAGCACTTTGCATTCTTGACAACTTTTGGTAGGTCATTCAGCATTATCATAAATTCCATCGGTCCCAAATTACTGCCCTGTGTCACGCTTGATCTCGTAAAGTAAGCTTCTGACCTACACCCAGCGTATTCCACGTATTGCGTTCGATCTTCCATAAAGCTAGCCATGAAGTTCAATAAGTGTGGAGTGAATCCTACCTGTGCAAACTTCTGCAAAAGCACGTCGTTATCGACCAAATCAAACGCTTTTTTAATATCGAAATAGGCAGCGTCCACCTGCTTTCCACTATCCACTACTGGGCTAATATTAGCCATATAATTTAAGAGGTTGCTAGTGGTACTCCTCGTAGACCGAAACCCGTGTTGAGCTTCTGAGAGTTGAGAACTCACTTGATTAAGTATGCACTTTTGAAGTGCCGTTTCCAACACCTTCGCCGGACTTGACAATATAGCTATCGGCCTATGCTGTTCTACTTTATCGCGGCATCCTACTTTAGGAACTGGAATTACCCGACTGCTTTTCCAACATGTGGGAAATGTTGCTGCTTTCAGACACAGGTTATATATGTGTAGCAGTGGTTCAGCAAGTACAACGCCACAATCTCTCAAGATATAAGGCGGTATACCGTCCGGGCCTGCTGCCTTTTTGGCTTAAGTCGCTTAAGTGCCTCCTGTATATCGCTTAACTGTAAGCTCCCAACGTGGACTCTTGCAGCCCCGTTTGAACAACCCGCTCCGGCAACAGCTGCGCTGACGTCGAGCTTTGGCTTTGCGTAACATAAACAGAGCTAAAATACTCGGCAAATGCTTTAACACTCCTATCCGGCGGTAGTACCTCTCCGTTCTCAATAATACCTGATGGTTCTCTATTGACTCTGTTACTATTAATAAATCTCCAGAATGACTTGGGATCTTCAATCACATTTGATTCAACAGCCTTAGTATAATTTTCAAGAGCCAATGCAATTAATTTCTTGACTTCAGCTCTGCAACAGCTAAACTCTTTGTAATCTCTTGGGGATTTAGTGACCTTGTATCTCTTATGCAGCGTGGCTTTTTGTTTAATTTTTTTAATTACCTCCTTTGTGTACCATTTTGGATATAAATACCTTGAGTATCCTAGGTTCCTGGAATTTTTTGGCACGCATTCCTCAAACACAGAGTTTAACTTATAATAGAAGCAATTGAGACTCAGATTTAAATCAGACAGTATACATCAGACCAATCCACTTCTCTAACCTTAGAATACAATGCATTAAAATCAGCTTTCTTAAAATTCCACTGTAACAAGCGCTCACCCGTTTTTGCCGCATCATCCCTTGAAGAAACCGCCCAAACGCGTGGACGCACGCACACAAGAAGCGGTGGATGCTGATCGTCTACAGGTACTAAAGGTTCATCCATCTCACACACCCCAACGCTTTGCATTCCCCTACCTTTGCTCAGAACCAAGTCTAATAGACGGCCATTAACATTTTGTATATTGTTACACTGACTGAATTCACAATAGTTACTAAAGTAATTCCAAAAATAAGTATTTACATTGTTTGAACAAGAATATAAATTAAAGTCACCGATAACTAATACATCATCATACTTGGAACAAAATTCTTCAATTGTTTTGAGCAATAAAAAGTATTCATCATCATTCGTATTTGGAGGAGTATAAACAATACATAACATAAACATGAATCTACTTTTTAAATAGACAGTTGCACAAACTATTTCAAACGGGCGAGATTCAATATGCAAATCACAGGGCAAAATTACGCGGCGCAGTTCCAGGCGTGGGGAAGCCACGAGACATACGCCACCATGCTTGCGCCCATCCACACGGTCACATCGTAATACCGTATATCTGGGAGGGACTAACTCAGCGTCAGCTATCGAATCATTACATCCTGTTTCCGTAACTGCAAACAAATCTACAGAGATTGATGAGACACTCACATAAAATTCCTTTATCTTGGTCCGAAGACCCCTCACATTTTGGTAACATATCTTAATAGGTCTACTTCCATCGTTTTGGGTTATTTGGTGATCTCCGAAACCACACCCAATCACAGTATTCTACATTAATAGGCCAATTATCCGGTTTACATAATAATTCATATTCATATTCTGGTACCCCGATAATGAATGATGCGTAATCCTTTTCCCTTTTATGATTAATTTGTTCAACTCTTATAGACACTTCCCTAGCATATATGACGTTCTTAACATAGTTCTCCAGACATTCTTAAACTTGTCTCTTTGTTTAACCGCCACACATGCAGAAACTTTTCCGCTCAGCTCCACAAATCTCCACTACATCGCTTCTACCTCCTTTTTTTACCTCACAGCTGGGGTATTTTCCACGTTGATATTTCCCAACTCTTTCCTTTGTCTTATCGCCACAGTTTTCCCTTTCAACATTGGTTTCAATTTCTTGTTCTTTATTTCTACATGCTACATCTTCCGTTACCCTATTTGTTTTCCCCGTAACAGCACTCTGCTTTAAGTTGTTGTTTTTTATTTGGCTCGAGCTCTGTTTTGCAGCATTCTGCAAACGAGACCACCGGTGGAGTACCTATCTCACATAGTGTTCCGGCTATCGGGCTCTTATCCAAAGAACAGTTCTTAAGGTAATTTTCATTTTGTTTCAATTCATGGACCTGTAGTGCATCCACTTCAAAGGTCTTCTCCTTTATAACCCTCATACTTTTTCGTAATTCTTCTAATTCTCTTTTCAGATTTGTTAAATCTTCCCTGGAGTTCCTTATATTGCTTTCCTTGTTCTTCAAAACGGCTATTCATTTCCTGACGAAAGTCCTGCATCTCTTTCAGCAAAATACTGTGGTACTTTTTGGATCAAAGCTTCAAAGATTCGTGGACTTGCCTTTTTTGGTGACAAATGATCCTGCATCTCCTCACATATATACCGATCCCCTTTTGTGCCCCTGCACGAACAGTCTGAACATTTCCAAACATCTTTGTCTTGCTGATTCATTAAAACTAATTTTCTTTACTAACTTTGATGCATTCAATATGAAAGCTTTTATGACATTGCACTCTGCAACACTTTAAATATAAAAGAATTTATTATCTTCTTATTACATTTATTGCAATCCATTGAGTCCCAATTCTTGTATAATAAAAATTATAAAAAGAAAAACTATATAAAATATATTTGCTGACTGGTCTTGAACTCAGATCACCGATGACGACCACTTTCAGTAGGCGTAACACTGGCGCTGCCACAACGACCGATGGTGGTATGCTTGAATAACTTGTATATTATTATTTTAACGTATGAAGTTTGAAAGGAATGACTAATGCAAAGTAAACGTTTACTTTCTGCAGGTCACATACGCACTTTTTTCTTCTTTTTTTTTCCACAAGTCCACATACAAATTCCAAGTATCTTATATAGAATTTATTACTTTTATGTCACTTGCACTAGAATAGTTACCGCACTTTTAGTTCTTTTGATAAATTCGAAGAATGAATTTGAAACATAAATTTTGCTGTTATATCCACTTCCGAGGAAGGAGATATCTTTTGCTGTGGTATATATTTCACTACTAAAGTTTGTTATTTACGTTTTATTACGTATCTTCAATAATTACTATTTTTAAACAATTTATTTATGAGGACTGGATGTTGACGTTGCGCCTACCCGCAATTTGAATATATTCATTTGTAACGTAATAATATATTTTAATGTGATGATGTAGTGATAAAATAATATAGGAATTGACTTATAATGTAATTGTAACTACATATTTAACCTTTTAAGACAAATTTGCACGCCATTATGTATGGCAGAATATGCTAACTTTAGATTGTACCACCATAACATTTTTGTACCATATTTTTGCAAATAAATTATTACATAGGCATGATACGTTTATAAGCTCAATTTTAATAACTAATAAGATAATATTCATATAATCGATTCACTTTACAAAAATTTCTAACAATACGTAAATAATCATACAAATAACTTACCATGAAACCAATCCTTGCACAGTTCACATTGTGTCATCAAGCCATATTGTCGTTTCTGACATGTGCAAAACGTGAGACCGGCTGTGGGCGGTGACCGGACTTCTTTGCGCATATTTTTGGACCTAAAATAAAAAAATAACTAGGGCCCATTTTTCAAATAAAACTTTTCTGTTGTATTGACTATTATTACAGTCAAAGTACCTCTTGTACCTAACCCGAAAAAATATTTCGGTAGCATTACCCACCCCTTAGACGGAAAAGCTGGAATACACTTCTTTTTTATGTGCTTTATAAAATAAAAAAATTCAGTTTACCTAAAATTATTCCTATATAAAGTCATAAAAGAAACATAATGTCAGAATACAGTTTCGAACCTAATTCAAGTTGAATCCGTAAAGCATCTTACCTCAACTCTCTGATAGCAGCCAACTCCCTCAACTCGGCCTGTTTGAACGCTGCAACGATCTCAGTGGGCGTGGCATCTTCACTAAAGTGCTTCAAAAGAGGTGGATCCTCTGAATTATCTCTTCCCCGTCGCCGAGGGCTACTCGTTTCCGTACGAGGTGAGAGGGCTTCTAGTAGGGTGAACGGCCAATTCTGAAAAAAAAATCTTACTTATAATTTGTGGGCAATAAACACCTTTTGTCTTCAGTCACCGTGACCACGCAGGCTGTAAAGCACGCGAAACGTCGGATAAATTTAAAATTATGTTAAATAATTGTACATTTATATATACATAACTTTAATCTGATTAAAAAGTTTTTTTTTTAAATGTGTAAAGGTTATGTCAATAAAAGACAATACTATACAATAATATACATGGCAAAACAAACGTTTGTCGGGTCATCTAGTTTCATAGTAAAATAAAACTTGTTTCCTTGTGTTATTGTATCAATTATGATTGACAATGAATCTTATGACATTGAAAGCTGGACTTCTGCCTAATTCGTTAGCTGTTAAAAAAAGTTTGGTAGGTTAAATTGTTTACCTTTTTCAAAAACATCTCAGCAGTGCCTCTCTTCCACTCCTTAGCCGACTGTAGAGCTGCTGCCAATTGATCCTTCTCGAATAACGATATCGGTATTTGCATGGACCGCTTTACCAAAGCTTCCACACTATGCATGTATGGGTATAATTCTTTTGACTGCATTTCTTCTACCTGTTAAAAGAAATTAAAGTCAGTCAACTTTTTAAACAGAAACGAAAATGTTGCGTTTTTTTTTTAGCGAGATCTGGAAGACTTAATCCCACGCGTTGGCATATTAATGTTATTATTTTAATATGTAAATCGATATACAATAAATAAACAAATATGTGTTTATACTACACGGAGCAAATAGGCAGGGCTCATCTGATGTAAGTGATACCGGTAACCATACTTACATTGGCAGAGGGCTCACAAATGCGTTGCCGGCCTTTTAGGAATTGGTACGCTCTTTTCTTGATCGACCCTTAATCGGATTAGCAAGCAATGCAAACAATATTCGTATTGCTTGTTTTAGTTTCAATTACATCGTGCGAATAATTCGTGAATTCTCTACTTTTACAAATTATGTAAAAAAAATGATTCAATATTTAATAATATCCATATAATATTAAATAATATATTTAGTAATATTTTTTTGTTTTCTAAAGCTCGCAAGTGAGTTGCCGGCCTTTTAAGAATTGGTACTCTCTTTTTTTAAGTAGAGTTATTTCGGCAATACTTCAGTGGGCAGCTGGTCCTCATAGTGGTGGTAAAAACTGCCTTAAAAAACGCTTAGTTGTGTAAGGAAAGACGTCGAGGGGACACGGGAGGTATCTCGCATTCTGCCTCGGCGTCCGAAGTCATATGCAGGTATTAATCCGAACAACTCCTCTAAACACTCACGATACTAAATACGTATAAGGATTTTACCTTAGCCAACCAGTCCTTGGCGTGACCGGCAGCTGCTTTCAAAGCGTGTTGAGAAGGCAAAGACGCCTCAATATCATCGCCTTCAGCCAACAAAGCGTCCAATTCGGTGATTGTTGTGTGCGATCGCTCCGAGTCCTCCATCATATCGGGACTTCTGGTTGTATTCATATCCAATAGTACTGCTTTCACACGGGTCTCCCACTCTTCCACTTGCACTATATTAGGAAAGGTAATTTAAAAAATATATTGCGACATATTTTGGCTCGTACACTGGTAGTCGTTGGTCACGTGATCGTTTTTCATACACCCTATACTCTGATTTTTCATTCCGTAGAATTCTGACATTTCATAAGTGTTGCTTCTAAAAAACTTCAGTTCTCCACCGAAAAGGGGACAAATTCAACCCAGTTGAAGGCAATCAAAAGTAAAATGCGACGTATTTTTTATGTTCTATCTACAAAAAGGTGTATCTAAATATTTACTTAGTCAAGTGACCTAATACAAAAATAACAAATATTTTATATTAGGAACAATATATCGCATTAACTTTAATTACTTTATTTTATCCTTTAGCTGGCATCACTATCAATTAATTCCAGGTTTAGTAAACCTTTTTGAAAAATAAAATGTTACCTTTACTTTTTCTGTTAGTTGGTTTTACTGTTAGTGATGAAAGGAAACGTAATTATCACTCGCCGTAAAACCACTTTTAATGTAAACTAACAAATAAAATGTATGAATAGATTCAGATGTTCAGACTCGTATTGAAATTGAAAAATGTGCCTGGCCAAAAGGTTTGTCATCTCTGTCATGTCAAAAAATTATAGCTGTCAGAATTCTACGGAATACAAAATCTGAGTATAGGCCGTTAGTGGATTGTGAATTATTGTTTTTACCATAGACTGAGGTTCGTATTGAAGAAAGTGAATTAAACATAAATTTGGTTTGAGAGCTGTCAAACTATTCCTTCTGTACGAAGTGTGATATAATTGAGATACGAATTAGAATATGTAAGCCTAATTAATTGGAAATCGGTTCCAGGACCTCATTAAAGAATTTTACCAACTACCTAAAGAGTATTATTAATTCAAGGTTATTAAATTTAACTTAATAATTGAAGTAAACTAATATCAATACTGTATAAAATAGTTGATATAAATAAATAAAATCACATTAATAATGAAAAAAAAATTACATTTAAGCTTATACAACCGCGCCCTCTCGATCTCGACCCTGGAATGCGGCACAACACTAGCCGCTTCTTGGAGTAATTTATCGATAACCTCCGGCGATAGTGTCGCGTAGTCCTCACGATGTTCCCTCGATGATACGATGAATTTCTCTTGGAGTAATCGCGCTTGCAAAGCTGGTAGCTGGGGCAGCACTATACATAGATGGGTGCCGAGTTCTACCACCTAGAGTTAATTTAATATTAATTGGATATTTAGATTGTTATAAAAAGTAATGAAGTTAAAAAATCCATTTTAATCCATTTTATATCTAACATATCTTCTCGCCTTTGTCTAGAAAAATTATGTCACCTGCTATCATTGAAACCAAAACTTTTTGAAGTTATACTTCTTTAGGCGCGTTATTAATTTAATTTTAAATCAAAATTAACAGAATGAAGTTGCCCTCTAACGAATTCTTTTTAAACCAGCCGGGCGCCGAGCGTGCGCGAGATGGGAATAAGACAATCTACAAGTAAAAAGAAATAGAATATGCGTGAAGTTAGCAGCTATGCCACGAATTTTGAATGACCATAATGACCTTTAAACAAAAAAAGGAGTTTTAATTATTTTTTCAAAGAAATATAGCAATGCTTTTTCACAAAGACCTATTGTTACTTAGTTTTGTTTATGAAACATACCTAGTTATTAAATTGAATGAATAATATAATAAAATAATAAATAATAATAATTATTATTATTAATATTAATTAATAATTGAATAATATACTAAATATTGTTAAATTATTAACGTTAAATATTTATTATTAATTATTTAATATTTTTAAAAATTAAGAAAGCCAAAGAATTATAACTTCTTACGCGCGTACATAAGTACACGCACCCTTTTATTTATATTGCCACCGTTAACAATATCCGCGCGCCTATGAATTAAATAACAAAACAAAACACTATCATCAACCCAATTTTATTATCGATATGATATAAGTATAAGTGACATTTTATTGAGACGATACAAGTTCGGGTCTGTACTTCGAGAGCAAACAACGTCTATGGCGAGAGAACGATGTGATATTTATTTATTCACACTTCGTTACATTTAACCAAAAACAAGTAACATTATACATAATAAAAAAATTAAAAGGGGTGCAACGAGCGGCCTTATCGCTAACAAGCGATCTCTTCCATGCAACCCTAGTAAGGGGTGAAACTAAATATGATGGGTAAAGTGCAAAAAGTGCATAACCAAATTTTGTAAAAATCAATTTAGAACCTTAATCGAAAAAAAGAATAAGAAATACAAGAACTACAAAGGTCATATAGTTTGCGGCTGATCTCCTTTACGTGACGAGCCCAGGGCAATGTTTTGCTACCGCGGCTAATAAATGGACTACTCGGTCAGTTATTAGATAACGATAAAGACAGTTGAAGAAATATTGCATATGCATTTGTGGAGCTACTAACAAAACTACTATTGTTACATTAACACAAACCACAGTGGTTTTCAAATGATTTAGAATTTATTAATCTGTAGAATAAATAAATAAAAATAAATTATTTTTACATTTTATTATATTATATTTTCTATACTTACATCCTCTAGTTCTCTCACGGAAGAAGAATCGCATTCATCCAAATCCATATTCAGTAATTCAGTCGCGCGATCTTCAAACTCTTCTGTTTGACGTAAAACTTCTTTGACAGCCGATCCTATAAAAGGGTTATTAAAATAAAATAAACATTTAATGAGCCAGGTTTGACACCCCTATTTATCAAGTTTATGAAAATCTAACAATAATCCAACGATTCCAAAACAGAGTGCTCAGGGAAATAGTCAATGCTCCCTGGTACACTGTGGACTTCCATCGGGACCTTTAATGTAAAGGACGTCACCACCATAATCAAAAAGATTGCTGGAGCCCACGAATAAAGACTCCATCAGCACGTGAATGTCGAGGCTATTCAACTTCTTGACACCATGGGCTTAGTAGAAGATTGAAAAGGAAAATCCATTCGAATTAGTGAAGTGCGCGGTTAGTGTAAAAATAGTTTATACGTAGTGTCATTAGACACTTTCTTATGATAAATCCAGTATCCTTTGTAGTAAATTAGGGTAATTTTAAATTACTTATTAGTCTTAAGTGAGGCTAGATCGTAATGATAAATTGTCTTTGTGAAGAGACAATAAAAAAAATGTAATAAATGTATAGTTAATATACAGTAACGAAAACATATGTATACGTTTACCTACGCGCATATACGCAACTAACCTTCAGGCAAAACACAAGCCAATCCATCTATTTCCGCGGCAAATAACGTCAACTCATGTATTGTCAGCTTATATTTGGGGTCATGGTGACGCGTACGTGTCCTCATTTTATTTAAATCAAGTTGTTGTATCACAGAAGCGCACTTTTCGGCATCTTCTATTGCCGTTTCGAGTGCTCGGACTAGTTCAGTTTTGTGTATCTGTGTAAGGAATTACGAATTAGTAAATAATTATAATAAATCAAATCTAAAATCATTTATTCATATAGGTAACACAATGTTGATTATGAACGTCAAAAAATAACACATATTAAATGCTTCTAGATCTGCCAGTCCTCGAATCAAAGACGTAGAACGGAAGAGAAGATCTGGCAATAAACTCTCCGACACTCTCCGATGCCAAGTTTTTTTTCTTTTACACAATGTTTGTAAGGAGCTGCAACCTCCAGTCCCCCCCTCTCCGGTGTAATGGGAGGGAGAGGAGGGGTTCCAAATGTAATGGGATGGATAAATGTTTTGTCCAGATCAAGAATGCAAAATGATTTTAATCTGTCGAGTGTAATTTTCTCTTAAATGCTTGTATGCCCCCACAGAGGTAGTAAAAATACTAAAAAGAAGAAATTATGCACTAAGTATGACATACAGTAGTCACTTAGAGCTAAGTCTCGACTCTTACGACCATTTGTGTCTGTATTTAACTTTTTTTAAATACTCAAGTCACAACAATGTAATAAAATCTCCAACACACATCTGCATGTCTTAGACCGATAACGTTACGAAAAAATACCATTTAAGTTTTAATGTCTGATGGAAACTAATTAATGCTGGTTAATTTAATTGTCAGTCCCGTTACACACTATGTTTGATATATTAATATTTTAGCGACGAACTTAAGGCATATACTATAACCTAACCTAACAGTTAACATCAGTGTTAACTTCCAAAAAACGCGAAGCCAAGTTCAAGCTAACAGAACTCGCCAGTTCCAGCAGGACCGTCTGGAGCACAAACGTTTTGGTGCCAATATCGAAAAACTATTTCACATAAACATCTTAAATTTGATCATATATTAATGGCTGTACATTCTTATTTTATTCTTCCGAAAATTTGGCTGCAAACTAGAATATCGAACATTCAATGACTGTTTTAGTAGGTACTTACTTAATAAAAACGTTAATGCACTTATGATATTCTATATTATTAATAAATAAATAATAAAAATAATATATAATCGACGAAATTGATAATTACTTTGAGATCATGTGCCCTCTTCAAGTGCGCCCTCAGGCCATCGAGGTCGCAAGTCTTGGGCGTGTCGGGGTCTAACGCGTTCTGCACAGCCTCCGCCCACTCACGGAACTGCTCCGACTTGCGTTTCAACTTCTCCAACATGGCCGGCAACTCGTCTAACGTGTAACGATATCTGCAAAAAGATTTTTTTTATTTCTGAACTTTCTGGAAAATTAAACTACATTGCTTATTTTGTTCAGAGAAACCTAGAAGGGAAATAAATACTATTTTTCAAATACTGCCGGATTACGATATAAAAATATGTGTCAGGGAATGCTCGGATTATCAGGAAATGTGTTTGGCCGTTCCTTTGGTTAATCATGGAGTTTCCTTCTATTACTTTTTAGAATCATAGTTTATTTTAATTCGATTTGTTTTTATTTAATTGTGTGATAGTTTGGAATAATTACTTAACGAATAAAAGTACGAATATTGTTACGACCAATCAAAGCAGAGCAAATGCCTCGAGTGCGGCGCCATCTTGACTTTAGACAGTGCGTTCAGGGAACGCAGGAGAGCACTGATGAATCTTTAGTAGAGCACTGTAGTGATGAGAGGTTGGACCGAGTTGGGTCTAAGATGGTATTAAAAGTGAGATCGGTGCCGGAAGTCGCTGCTCGTCATAACTTTAGGTAAACTTTTATTTGTAGTGTTAAAAGGAATCAATCTAAATTAAATATTGTACGATAATTATTCGTGTCTTACTTTACTACAGTTAAAGACTACCTAGAAGACAAAACACGTGGCATTAGTTCTAGTTATATTGTTAAATTTGTTTTGTTATTTAGAAGTGCTGTGAAATGTGTGTAATGGTGAATGTGGTAAATAAGAACATATTTTTTTTAACTTATGTAACTTAAAAGTGGTTTAGAATTTTCTTTTGAAAATTTTAATGAGAGGGAGGAAAAGTTCTTGCTCTTCTCAGAAAAGGCCTCCTGGGGTTTGAACGGATGGTAGTCTTTTTTTCGGAGTTTTAAAGTTTTTGACATTCATATGAGCGCTAAGACGCATCAAACTGAAAAACGTATGAGTACAATGAGTCAAATGGGAGGAGATATTTCTCGAATAAGTTTTGAAGTTTATATATTTAAAAAGTTAAGTCTCACAATGACCACGATGCTACAAATAATGCAATAAAATCGTGTTTGATTATATTAAACGGTTTACGCACTATACATTGTGTCACATATGCGTTTCATACACTTCTTTATCTAGTTTAATTAATAGGTTAGATTCAATATATAAAATAACTAACATATCAAATCATAGCTCTCTTTTGGTTTCAATTGTATGTTATATTGTAAAATTAATTTTAATGGCACTATACAATAATGATAACTAAGCGACTTTGAACCCTGAAGTCGTACGTTCGAATCACGGCCGTGCATCATTAGCGAAGACCCATTTAGGCTTGTCGCGCCACTAGACTACGATTATCTGAAGAAAAAAAATATCTTTGAACTGTCAAATGATATGATTCTTACCTAAGTTTATGCACAGCGGGTGAACAATCGCACAACTGATGGAAATGTCTCAAGCACGCAACGTGTTGCGTACACGTGCACGTGACGCACGAGAGGAAGCACGTCGTCTTGCAGAGGTGGCACTGCCGCTCGTCGTCTGGGAGGAGTTCGAACGCTTCTCTTTCCGCTTCGGTAACGCCCTGAATGTTATATTTGAACATATATTACCAATTTTAACTTAACACTTTTTTATTATCTTCGATTGAATGGATTTAATAGAAACTACGCAAAATAAGTCAGTGTCTGAAAAAAAAGGTAGTATTCGTAAAACTTACCCAGTCCAAGAGTGCTTTTCTCAATTTCCTCTCATCATGAAGCATGGTCCTCATATCTCTATAGGCCGCTAACGCGACAGTGAGACTGAGTGAATCTGCCTCTAACGCCATTTTGCATACTAATTCGTCATGCGAGAATACACAATAACGGCGTAGTGTCGAATAGTGGCCGATACATTCGCGGCCCATTTTTAGCTGAAATAAATATAATAACGTCAATATAATATAATCTCCGATAATGAATGATGACATCATCATTCTTGAAGCCCGGAAGAATAATTCGCCAGGAATAAAACGTGAGGCCTCTGAATTTGTGAATTATCTCTGTTAGACGATGACTTTTCGAAGTATGTAAATGTAAAAGGCAATTTGTGACAAACAATATTTTTAAATAAAATTTTGACACATTGAATATTTCGAATACTCCATAGTCCGGTCAATATAGACATTTCAAATAACAAAATTCCCGAAGAGCCAAAAATTGGTGGAGATTTTGTTGCACACATAGGGTAGATGGGGATTTTTAAAACTTTATTTGTAATGGTAAACCCCAGCTCTCCACCAATTTTTATGTCTAATTTGACCGGACTATCAAGACAAATCAATCTTTAATTATTAGGTTTCAACATTAAAAATCATATCCTGTAAAAATTTTTAATTCATTAATTCAAAAATTAGAGTTAATTCTAAGGTCCGTCTTGTTTTTAATTTATGTATATAGGGATGGACTAAGAAATGAAAAAAAAAACAATATGTTTCTCACCCAATCAGCTGGCGTAAAGTTAACAGCTTCAGCAAAATTGTATCCTTGGTTGAAGCCAGCGTGGTAAGCGCGAGGGAAGGTTATGACGAATTCGCCCGCGTGCTGATCCGTCCTATACAAATAAACAATTGTTTACCAAATATAGTTAAAGTTTCCCAATACCATTTAATAACAAAGAGACGAATAAATGAACGAATATTTGTGTGAAAGAGTGGAGAGGTCAGTGACCTCATGCTAATGCCCGAGACGTTAGAACACCACACCTCCCTTACATTATGAATAATCATTCGAAATAATACTTTACATAAACAGTGCATATAATATCTTTGTTTCATAACGAGATCAAAAATTTAAAACCCTGTCAGAATTCAAGAAAATAAGTTATTTAGTTTAAAATTGTTGAACTAGAACTTTTTAAGCTCAGAAATATACAATTGTTCTCTCGTCTCTAGTATATTTTCTCATTTTCTTGTAAATGTGCCTCAAAACAAATCCTTACCTATAAACAGGCACGCCAGCCTTCATGAGGACATTGGGGTTCATGATGGTAACGAGCTGATGCAGCAGGTCTGGTTGCAGCTGGAACAGCTCTGGGGCTTCGGCCTTCATTGCTGCCTCGAACTGTTCCGCCTTGGAGGATGGTACTCCATACCTGAGGATGAGAAAAACATTATTAATTTGCACTTACAAAAAAAAATACATAAAAACTTTAACTGACATCAAGTTACTATCAACATTATTTACATATACCCTTCAGAAATACTCTCAAAACTACTCAACTGATTTTGATGAAACTTAAACTGTTCTCTACCCTGTAATCTACCTGATTCCAGGTATTAAAGTCTCGGTACTGCTTTAAATATGTTGATGAAAATAGTTGTCACATACCATGTCTTCGCTTCACCCCAATGTAGGTAATTGATTGAGTAACTCCAGTGATCTTCGTTGTGCCAACAGAATGTCGCAAAGCACATACCGACATACAGCCATGGAACCTAAAAAGTTTTACATTGGTTTTTTTTAATATGAAATATAAAGTTATAGTTATGTAATTATTTCTGATTATAAATGAACAAAAAATCGCTATTGCTTAAAGAAATAAAATAATTAAAACTTTATAATACAAGACATGAAACTTTCAACACATTGCAACATCATGGGTTTTTTTTTACAGAACAGGGGTAAACGGGCAGGAGGCTCATCTGATGTTAAGTGATACCGCCGCCCATGGACACTCTCAATGCCAGAGGGCTCGCGAGTGCGTTACCGGCCTTTTAAGAGTTGGTACGCTCTTTTTTTGAAGGGCCCTAAGTCGAATTGGTTCGGAAATACTTCAGTAGGCAGCTGGTTCCACCTAGTGGTGGTGCGCGGCAAAAACTGCCTTAGAAAACGCTCGGACGTCGATATAATAATAACTGTGTCATAGCAACCTTACCTTACCCAAGTGTTAAAATAAATCAAAGAAGCAAGAAAATAATTCAAAAAGCCTAATATTTATATAGGGGTATAATAAAAATGTATTACCTTCATGCCTGATATATCAGCATTAATATGTCCCAATACTGAACCCTCCAAAACGGGCAAATTATTCAAATTCCAACTCGACTCAGCATATTGTTGTTCACCGGGATATAGGTGTGCGCTTGACTTTGTTGGGAATCCTGTCAAAAATATTTCAGATATTATTTTTACCAGCCTAATACGAGTCTAAAATGTACAGGTTAAATTATTAATTTGAAACACCCCTTTAGAATTGGGTCATCTGAAACAATTCTCAATTTAACAAATATATTAAAAATATTGGTTTTTATTTAATAAAATAAAAACACTGGCGTACAACCTCTTTAGGTCTTGGTATCCTCAGATTGTAGTCTGGTAATCTGTTTCATGATCATTTTATAATCTAAAAATAGTCAAAAAGTAATTAGCCCTTCCGAAGTGCCTAGACACACGCCGTAGACTTTTGTTGTCTATTTAGACCATGTCAGATTTTATCACGATTTTATCCTTCACCGTTCGGAAATGCGATTTTTATTCACATAGAAAAACAGTCCTTTTTGCACATGATAACACGTAGATCGCACCGTTACAACCTCAGTAATCAGACGTCTCACGCTGAAGCCACTTAGGCCAAATGCTTTTTCCGGTATTTATTTAATGAGCTATTAAATTAGATTTTAACCTTATTCATTAATTGTTTATCAAAATTTTGACAAAATGGTGTTGTATTAATTTTTTTTAATCAGTCCATGCAAAGTCTAAATACATTACCTGATCCATGATCCATAGAGTGTAGATCTGCTCCATATTCAACTGTGACATCCTCGTCTATGGAAGAGACAACTCGCCAAAATTCTCTCTCCACTGTTGAAGTTGGCACCATCTATTAAAAAAAATCAATTACTGTTTTACCAATAAAGTACATTATAAGATTAAGGTTGACATGTGTCAAGTTTGCAACTACTAAACATAGATGGCGCAATTTTTATATGAAATAAATTAAATTATGACAGCACGGAAACTAAATTCACCTTACTTAAAAATATTCACATCATAAACACAATTTGAGTTAAAAAAATATTTAGTTTTTATCAATAAAGGGATAATTTATCTATGGTATTCTAGAACATCAAACTGAAACCTATTTTTTTTATCGGCAGTTTAAATCCAGTTTCAGTCTGTCAAACCATTTTTTGAAGTTATACTTCTTTAGGCGTGTTATAAAAAATTGATGAGAGTGAAATTTTACGATGCGCGCGCACCGTGTTCACAAAATTAACCCCGAATGAAGTTGCCCACTTACGAATTCTCTTTAAACAGGGGCGCCGAGCGAGCGCGAGCAACATGGGACTAAGACAATATACAAGTAAATAGAAATATAATAAGCGTGGAGTTAGCAATGCAATGCTTTATCACAAAGACCTATTGTTACTTAGTTAAAAGGTTATGAAACATACCAAGTTATTAAATTGAATGAATAATATACTAAATATTTAAACTTATTAAATATTTATTATTAATTATTTAATATTACAAAAAAATAAAGAAAGCCAAAGAAGTATAACTTCTTACGCGCGTACATATAGTACACGCACCCTTTTTTTATGTAGTTTGACATATTTGAAAGTGATCAAGACGTGAGTGTGACTTGAAATACGAATTAGAATATGGACCCAAGTCTTGAAAACTAAGATAATTGTAAGGCCTGATACTTACATGTACAGGCATGTTAAAGTAATCCGATTTGAATTGATCTGCCATTTCTCCGAATTGTTGTAAGGTGTATTCACGGGACGCCTGCTCGAAGCCAAAAGCTGCCGCTGGTTTTGATACCTGTACATAAATATATTCAATTAGTACCTTACATACTTTATGAGAATATAATACATAATAATAATAGTAAAAAAAAAATATGTTTATTATGGAACATAAGATACAGGTATCACTTATTCCACGTCATTAAATTTGAATCGGTAGCCATCCCTACTCATCGGCAAAGAAGACAGAGGGTGTAGGCTGAGTGGAAAAGCCGACGTAAAAAACTCTCGGTACTCTTTTAAAATAGCAAATCATCAAACAACACTTATTTTAAAACAAATATCACAAATTAATTAGAAGTAGCCTGTCTAGCACTAGTCCCAAGCCCTTTTATCAACTAGATAATCGTTAACTTCATACTAAGCCTTTTTACACAGCTTTTCTTTAATACATTTCTTAAATCTATTAAAAGGCAGAGATTAAAGAGCCTCTGGAATTTTATTAAATAAGAGTATCCCTTTTCCCAAAAAAGAGTTACTAACTTTAGATAGTCTGGTACGGGGAAATTGCAGCCTGTGTTTGTTCCGAGTATCAATATTGTGCGTATGTTCTATTTTTGTAAACTTATCACTATTTTTGTATACATACATAATATTTTCATAAATATATTGCGAGGGAAAGGTAAGTATATTAATTTCCTTGAATTTATCTCTAAGAGATTCCCTAAATTTTAAATTGTAGATTGCACGAATAGCCCTCGAATAGTCATTTATCATAAATCAATTAATTCATAGAAATATATATATGTATGATTTTTCTTAATGTTAAATGTAAGCGAATATTGTCAAAAAGAACAGTTTAATATAATTCAAAGTTAGACGCTACGAACGAAATAAAAATATATAAATATCCGTCGCAGCTGGAGGCTGCTCCCGCTTGGATTTCGTATTTTGGAAAGATTTTTTGCGACCTCCAACAATAAATTTACATTTAACCATAATTATACAAAATCAAACTACTTAGGATTTTATTATGGTTAGGCTAGGGTACAATATCTATTTGGCTTAGAAGTAAAAATACTACTTATATATGAATAAATTGCCATTTAGTTTTAAAATCTTACTAGGAAATTTTTATTTCTCTATACCCATTCTTGACTCTCGAATTGGTCCAGACGTCTTCGAGTTTTGAGCTTAGCAACATAATTTGCGATTCATTTTTATATATAAAGAAGATGTATAAGAATTAAGGTAATTATAAATGTTATAAAAAAATACAATTAAAATGTATACAAGATAAATTAAAATTACCAGAATTTTTTCTTAAGCAGAAAAAAAATTACCAGCAAATTCAATGCTTACTTGAAAATTGATCAGCCCCACAACCTTATTAAAAATATATGTTCTTGATATAGCCTGTTCTTTTTTAATAATCTAATTGTTTTTAATCGATATTCTATTATTATAGAAGTAAATTTGTTATGTCATAATTCTCATATAATATACAAACCTCCTCAGCCAAGCAGACGGGGCATCGCCAATCACCCTTAGGTACATCAGCCAGGGGTGGCACAAGGCAGAAAGTGTGGTATGAGTCATCACACCCGTCACAGAGTAACATTTGCTCTTCGATGTCACCCCTACCGCAAATGTGGCACATGTACTTCGCCAACTGTTTGGAAATAGTTATTATAGTCAAGTCCAATAAGATCTGGGACAGGTAAATGAGTTTTCTAAACTCGTGCACCTTTCATAGATTACTCAAAAATACATTACCTATGTCAGAATATTATCTTATTTCTTAAAATCTGTTTTTGAAACTTTGAAAATTTATTAAGCAATTACTCACAGGGTCCAAAGGCCGTGGCGTAGTTACAGGCGGCGCAGGCACAGGTGCTGGAGTAACTGACACGGTCATATTACTCAAGCGATGCTCGCGTAATTTCGTCGATCTAAGGACACGAGCGCGTGCGCCACACGACGCAGCACTCGACATCCATTTGTTTTCACGGGGACCTTTTATGACCATGCACAATTAGTTATACAATACGAGTTGCAATTAGATTACTCCGTAAAACCTTTACGAAATTTATATATTTCTTAATAAAATAATTGTTATTTTTTTGCAATCGGACCAAATTCGATATATTTGAAACACACGGATTATGTGATATGAAAATCTTATATTGAAATCGAAATAACATCAAAAATTAGGGTAGACCCCGCAGGGTAATTTTGCCATGGCAACGCAAGACTTGGGGTCGCATTCAAAGTTGTAACTATGATATGCTATACAAACAATAAATACAAGTTTTAAACATACAAAGCCAGTTATTTAATTCCGATATTCTGTTCCAAGTACGTTATTACTTTTGGGATTGAAACATTTATAAGATTACACAAAATGCAAATACATATAATAAATGAAACAAACATAAATCATATCATACTCACTCCTCCGATTCTCGGTAGGTTCCTCCTTAATAGGCGTCTTCTTGTCATCGGTCCCGGGCAAAGCTCCCTCAGTGTGGCTGCCTTCAGCCGCCTCGGGCTCCGATGTCTTGTACCGGCGCCCGGGGGGCGGAGTTGCCGCTGGGCCTTTGCTGCTTGACCGGCTACGAGCGTTTACTTTTTCAGGCGTTTGCTCGGTTTTTACTTCAATTTTCTAGAGAAAAAAAAAGTTCAATCGATTTTGGATAGAAGCCGAAAACTTATTGGATTACATCTATTAGGTATTAGAATCAGAGGTTAATTTTAGGATGACAGATTCGAGACTTAGCGCTAAGTACGACTGTCGTATGTCAAATCCAATTACAACTTGTTATTATAGATGTTTACATTGACATGAATAAAACGTAAATTAACTCCAATAAAAAAAAACATAAATATTCCTGTCAAATTTTACTAATATATTTCCTTTTAGAAACTAAATATTTATAAACTCTTCGTTGACCTAACTCCGAGATATACTGTAGTGAAAATATATTAAAGATCACAGGTCAGAGTTTCGGAATATAAAGGCTATATTATTATTATTTAAATATGAAATTATTAAACATGAATGCGAATTGCATTTTACATGTATTACATAGCAAATGATGTCGTTGTTGTATTAGGGTTAATGCTATACTAAACGATACTTCGGCGACTAGTTTAAATATGTTAATGTTGAGTTAAATATACTAAAATATCATAGGTGCAAATAGCGAAATCTATATATAGATATGCTTATAGTAAATAAAAAAAAATTTTCTTCGGCTTAGTCACATGCACAACATTCGGCTGTTCTGTTAAGTATTCTTGTGACAAATAATATACGCATTAAGGGATTAAACTTAAAATGAAGTTATATAGTTTTAACATATATGTATAACACAAATACATGGTGACGTCATAAACCTTAGATATTCAATGTCGAATCCCATTTGTCGAATACTTAGCACTAAGTCTTGACTCAGAATTATTGTACACCGTGCATGTATCTCTATTCAACTACCACGATAGTAACTTTATGTAGATAGAGAGATAGACCTAGATAATTTTTTTGAGGTTTTAATGGTGTGTAATATGTACTCACGAAATGTATAAAGGTACTAGCTGACCCGGCAAACGTTGTTTTGCCATTATATTATTTCTAGGAAACATTTTTTTAGTTCAATTAAAATAACTATCTACAGTAATAAAAAACAGGGTTGATTGTAGAGGGGTGAAACATAAAAACAAAAAAATTGTCTAAAAAATAAAAAAATTGGGGTGGACACCACTTATCATTTAGGGGTTTGAAAGATGGATAGTAGCCGATTCTTAGGACTTACTGATGCATAAAAAATTTCATAAGAATCGGTCGAGCCGTTTCGGAGGAGTATGGGAACGAACATTGTGATACGAGAATTTTATATATAAGATAATTAATGCAAATTAAAACTATAATAATAAATACCATATTCCACCGCGCAGCTTTGTGTTACCTATATATTTAGTGTGCATACAGCAGCCAACATATAGAATATATTATTTCTATTCAATATATATGCGAACAATGTCACAATGCAACCTCGCAACTTACTAATTATGTAATGCAATTATTTAACCTTCCATAGTTTAGTTGTTAACTGATTTTCACAACAAATATTTATAAATTATTAACAAATCTTTAATCAGTAGCCAATTTTATGTAAAATTTCAGGATCATTATTTCTTTATTCAATTAATTTGGAATAGAAAACCAAACACTATTATTTAATCGTCTTAAAACTGCCATTAAAACCCGCTGGAGGGGACCCACAAGAAAAGGAAACGTGGGAAGACCACAAAAGAGACGGGTTGACGACATCATGAAGGTTTCTGGAGAGAAAAAGATGGAGGAAGCATAGAACAGATCCAAAAGGAAAGTTCAGGAGGAGATCTTCACCCAAAAGGGGTCCATACTGCAGAACAAGAAGTAATGGAAATAACTAAAGTAGACTAAGTTTAAAATAACAAAACTAACACCCATATGATTTGTAATTTTTATAGCGTGGAATTAAAGTAGCTTTGTTATTATTATTAACTAATAAAAATGTGGGGAAAGTACAAAATCTAGATAGAATTCAGTTTTATATAGCAATATTTAGCAAGTATTTTATTAATATTTTGGCACTGACATTTAAGCGCGACACTTTGATTTCGTAGAAAAAATATGGCAGTTGACGCATGAAGAAGACAAGCTAAATCAGTCGTAATTTGCACTCCTACGCAACGCACGCGTCCCCGTCTTATGTAATCGATATTTATAATGTTATGGATCACAGTAAATAGCATTCATTGTTGCTTAAATACTTTAACAACGACAGTAAGTATTGAACTTATGAGGCCAATTTTTAAAGAATTTCTTTGTTGTAATTTTTAGTTGGCTAAATCGGAGACACAATTCTCCTAGAATAACATTCTATAGATTGAAAGTATGACAACAAGTCCACACAAACACAATAAACACACAAAGTCAGAATGCGTGACTCTTTCAATTGGAGTTCCTGCTTACTGCTCCCGTTATCCCATTCAGTGAGCGTATATCAATCTATCTAAAGGTGAAGCAGGTAAGAAACTACGACTGATGAAATATGGTATACATCTAGAAAATGTTTTATCAGTCATACACATGCACGAGACGGCTGACCAATGAATACAAGAAATCCCAATGATGTCGTCTTTTTGCAATAGACATTAAGTTAAGTATTGATTTGTAACTTTCAAATTATCGATAGATGCTACTTCATAAAATGAATTATCTGCAGTACCTATAAAAAAAAACCATATAAACGAACATACCGTCTCCTTATTGTCCCCCACAGCGCCGTTATTTTTGAACACGTCATAAGGGTAGAGGATGCGTTCATAATGGTTCTTCATTATTGACCCGATGCCTTTGCCCTGAGGGTGACCCATACGACGGGCGATTTTTGACCACTTCCGCTCCGCAGAACATACTTCAAAACCGCCTACAGATAAAAATAGATGATATATAATTTATTAGCAACAAATCCAGTCATAATAACTGTATTTCAGTGACTTCCCAGTTACATACAATAAAATTAAATAATAATATGAATAAAAAAAAAAAAAAAAGAAATCATCTTACCAGCCTCCTTCACAATCTTATGTAAAGCATACAAGTCCAACGGCTTCCTTTCAACAGTAGGTATCTTCAGAACAGAACCTTGTAGTTCCCAGAATTTTATGATTTGGTCTAGGAAATTTAGCTTCACACGTGTAATAGCCTATAATAAAAAACATATAATAATATCTTAAAACTTGAAATCAGCATTTCAAACCAATATAATAAATATATAAATAACAATTTTATTTATATAATTTTTTGTTCAGGCCTAGAAAATAAAAGCAAATTTTCTTATGTAATAATAAAAATGAATTAGCATACACTTTTACACTATATTTTTCATACTTCTAAATACTATGTAATGTTTATATCTGTGTTTAGGTCATAACTTCATAACCTTTGCAGTCGGTAGGATAATGAACTTTCTCATGTTAGTCTTTCGCCATTTCCTTTGTTTTAAATTGTTGATTTTTTTGTGATGCAGAGAAGAAAAACATACAATTATCTTTGTAAAATAATCCTGATACAAAAGCTATATTACATAAACTTCACTATAATTCAGGTTCTTTGAAGGACAAATTAAAATAATGGATGGAACAAGTAAAAAGCAATATAACTTTGTAACACCACAAAAAATTTCAAACCATTATTTTAAAAATATTCATTATGTTCATTGAGATAGCCTAGCCTTGTCATTTAAAACCTGATATAAAAAATAATATTGAAATGGATTAATTACTTAGATTTTAAAGAATTTATTAAAACATACCTCTAATTCATTAAGCCGTTGAATTCTTGGTGTAAATCGTAGACGATCGACATCTACAGCAAATGGTGGCTGCCAATGCTGAAAATATATATTAAACTTATAATACACCCAACTTTATCCTCCCATTTTGTCTAACATTTCTATGTAGGAATTGGATGGATATTGTAGTTATAATGATAATAGATAGTAGGTTTAGATACATTTAGATCTGTTACATGGATTTCTGCTTTCTGTGCCATACACGCATAATAAATTTTTGTGTCTTTGATATGACAGTTTTCTCATAACATTATTGTTCACAGTATAAAAAACAAACAAAGTGCCTAATGATAAAATGTCATAAGTAAAAAATTTGTGTCCACGTTATTTTCTTAGCTAAGTGATCACACCAGACCAGCACAGAAAATCACATTACCTAAGTATATTATAAACGTACATGTTACATGCTTTTGAGCTAAGTATAAGAACCTAAAAAAACTTTATCATTTAATGGACTCTCAAGGACACTTATTGCTGAAACTGCTTTAATCAAAGTTATCAGATACTTATAGTAACTCAACACACTTTTATCTCAAATTAAATGATCTATATTTATTCAACTGTTACTACTAAAAAAATTAACATTTAGTTGATACTTCGTTACCTTTTCCTTATATTCTATAATAAAATATGGTGTATTTACAACTACTTTAAAATTAAAGTATAACTTGAATACCAAGAAACACAGGGGTGAAAAATTTTGCACTAAGTGAGACTATGTTAAGTCTAAAACCTTTGTCATAGTTTGTCATCAATCTACTCACACTTTGAGCTAAGGCTCATTTCAGAATCTCACCCCTCACCAGAGTATGTCATACATTCACTTTAAATACTATTTTTTAAATTCAGAAACAAATATAAATTGAAAAATAATTGTGTCAAACTCAACTCAACTTGAATAATATAGGTAACCAAGTACACTTATGAATGTCAACTGAAAAGATCTTTTCAAAATTTACATTTACTATCAGTTCAAGGGCGTAGAGCAGGCAAGAAGAACTGGCAAGAAACTCTGCTCCACTCTTTTTAATAGCCAAGTTTTAAGTCAAACAATTTGTTTAAACTGGAGAAAAACAAACCCAAGGTTTAGGATCATTTAAATAATCATTAAATTTATAAAAAGCTTTTTTGATTAATTTACATTTAACAAGAGTTTCGAATTTATTCAGTGATAAGTCTCTAATTTAGCTTGGAAATTTGCTGTTAAAACTAATACAATTTCCATATAAGGAGTGGTTTATCTTCTGGAGCGTGGTTGGTCATACACTTAGCTTTGTTCTGTTGCAAGTATTATACTGGAGAAAATCACCATTTGTTTTAAAATGGTTTATATTTGTTTGTACATACAACAAGGCTTCAAGAATATATTGACCAGATAGTGTCATAATATCACCACATGAATAAGGAAAAAAGGTTCAATTTATTGTTTCATATTAAAACATTAAAGATTCGTCATATATTGTATCATGAACTGTAACTGTAGAGTGCCAAACAATTACAAAATAAAATTATTAGCATAAGTAACAAAAATATCGACACACAACAACATACATAGACAAAGATGATATTCTTCACAGTTAGTGTAAATAAAAGAATATTGGTAATTGTTAAATGTGATTATCTCAAATAATCAGCGTAATTAAAATGAAGGACTACCATTATTGTGATATTTTCTTTCAATATGTTTCTTAGTAGTGTTCTATTATAGTATTATATCATATGTATGTAGAGATGCTTAGCAACTTAGTTATAGTGAACATTACAAAGAATTTCAAAGTATTTTATTAATTTGGGAAGAATGAAACACTACTTCAAATATTACTGAGTTGGCATTTCATCTAAAGAAGAAACGAAAGGCGATGTTTCTTTTTTTATCAAAATTATCGCAGGCCGAGGGCACGACACAAAATGGCAACCAGCCTATTTCAACAATATGCAACTGCATTTGTGGACATTTTTATGCACTTCTAAGTAAGTTAATAACTTCACATATGACAACGGTGCCTATCTCGATAGAGTTAAGAGATATTAAATGTGTGGAAGACAAAAAACCCACTGACACGGTTGCATCATAGATTTATTAAACGTGCACAAAAAGGGTTATAAAACATATTGCAAAACAAACCATCCATATAACAAATAAAACACTGAATGTTTTGTAAAAATCTATCGATTTAGAACAAAGAAAATAACTTACGGGAGGGGGTTTAATTTTGCAAATCCCCGACTTCTCCGCAATTGGCCTGATTTTACTGATGTACGCTAAAGGATCCAGGAATTCTTCAGGCGTTGGTTCGAAGACGGGGGCCTCCGGAGGTACGGTGAAGGTAAAATTATCAGGTTTCATGGGGGACGCCGAGTCCCCCATACTAACTTCGACATTAGCTTCGTCACATTTTCCCATTTTTGAGAAAAACCTATGCAGTTCTTATAATTTCAACAAAAACTAACACTTTAACATCATCTAACGTTAAGGAATGAATAAAGCACGACCACAAAGAAAAAGTAACATGAAAATTTGTCTTTCCATAAGGAATCTCAGAGAAATAATAAATGAAATTATCAGTAGACACTAACAAATAACAGAACCCACTTGCACGTCCGCCATGCAAAATTGAACTTTCGAAACTCTGGTGTTGCCGTTACCAAAAATCTTTTTCTTATCTGGAAACATTACGTATGTACTCCATAGGCTGCCAAATATCGTAACAGATAACAAATAATTATTAAAAACCACTAACAAAAGTGATTCATGTACAATCTAATTTTATTTCTTAGAATTATAAAAATTACTGTCTCATTAATCATTATAAGTTTAAACAAAGATGGTGTAGACAAACATTGTAACTAGCGCTTGCTGTGCAAAATAATAAAAAGGTTATAGTTGTTTCTTCTATTACTATATTTTTGAAGTTATACTTCTTTCGGCGCGTTATGAAAATTTATGAGAGTGATATTTTACGATGCGCGCGTACCGTGACACAAAATTAACAGAATGAAGTTGCCCACTAACGAATTCTTTTTAAAACAGCCGGGCGCCGAGCGTGCGCGAGCGAGATGGGAATAAGACAATCTACAAGTAAAAATAAATAGAATAAGAAATAAAATAATAGAATAGAAAACGTGAAGTTAGCAGCTATGCCAAGAATTTTGAATGACCATAATGAACTTTTAAACAAATAAAGAAGTTTTAACTATTTTTTCCAAGAAATTTAGCAATGCTTTTTCACAAAGACCTATTGTTACTTAGTTAAAAGGTTATGAAACATACCTAGTTATTAAATTGAATGAATAATATAATAAATAAAAACAATTATTATTATTAATATTAATAAATAATTGAATAATATACTAAATATTACATTATATTATTAAATTATTAACGTTAAATATTTATTGTTTATTATTAAATATGTAAAAAAAAATAAAGAAAGCCAAAGAAGTATAACTTCTTACGCGCGTACATAAGTACACGCACCCTTTTTTTTTAAATACAACCAACATTTGGAAGAGGACATGCATAAAATATGTAATGTATAAAAAAACGGCATTAGTTATCTTTCTTTGATTTTACATAGAAATTCAGAAGCATAGTTCCTGTAATTTCATGTATTAATTTTATATTATAAGTTAGTTTATTTTATAACCTTTTTTTAGAAGACTAAAAAAATTAAGGTTAACTATCCACCTTTTATAAACTAATTTTGCTTTTGTTCGCTAAAGCCGTATCTTATGACGAAATTTTATACTATTATGCCAGTTTAAAAGAAAAGGATAAGGAGTTTTCAGTTCTATCAACCCATTTTCTGGTATTTTATATAATCAGAAGTGGAACCTGCTTAACTCGTATGATTTTTTAATTAATTGTTAAAAGATTACCTTCGGAAAAATAATATCATTTTGCGAACTTTTATTATCTGTCGCCATCTAACGCTAATGTAACTACAGCTTAATTCGTACAGTGTTACCATCATCGACATAAAAAGGAACGCATATGCGCAGACTCGAACACAATCGATGATCATATCCGTCATCCGCCGCCATTTGCCCAAGGAAGGCTGATCGCTACTTTGAGGTGTAGCGCAGTGTCGTCGGTTCGACTATGTCGAGTGCATAATTTGTTTTTTTGTCCAATTAAACTGTGAACTGAGTGTACATTTAATCAGTTAAAATGATTGTGAGGTGTTTAAGCCTTTTGTGGGTCGGAGTTTTGCTGGCTTCGGCACACAACGGCGAAGGAAACAACGACAATGAAGGTAATATTATAACCCTTGCTTCTATTTGTTTTTCTTGTGTAGCCTCCGGTTTATTATTTTACCTGCTTATAATGTAGAGATATTATATATGTATATAAAATATTTTTATTTGTTTAGGACACTATAAAGGTTTCAAAAAAAAATAAAAACAAACATCGCATTTCTAAGGGTCTGTGAAAAAATACTTTTGGAGTAAATATTTTCGGCTACCTAGTAGGACATAGAAAATATCTATATCACCGCGTTGTGTCATGGTGTGCATGTCTGAAGAAACTGGTCATGTGGGTGTTCAGGAAACCGGATTGACCACTTCTTGTGCACATACGACGGTGACCCGGTATACTTGTGGGCGTGCGCCTTTGCAGCTGAATCATTTTGAATACACAATTTGCAATACGTGATTAAATTATTTTTAAAAGATCCATTTGTAGGTCACACCTTTAAGGATTTATCATTTTAATTTTATGAAGATTCTTAACTACCCATAACTTTTAGAAAGCTTATTAAACAAATATAGGTTTCACAACAATGCTATGGTATTTCTAAATTTCTCTTGACTACAAATAAAAAATATGGGTTTTAAAAGATAAGATACTTTCAAAATACAACTTGATAGCCCAAACTCCAGTGTGAACAATAAAGCTCTAATGAAGTAATGGAATATCAATTATAGGGTCTGTGTTAAGATTACCTCTTGTGTTTCATAACAGCTGCTTTTTTAAGGCTCTTAGTTGAAATCCCTAAAGATATTTTAACTGTTTGTTTAAAAGTTGATTGAAATTTCTGTTTGTATCTGAGACATAAGAGGTAATACTTGTATGGCAAGGTGTGCACAGAGGTTTCTTGTAATCAAGACTTTATTGCTAATAATATAATTTTCTTTGATTTTATTACAGACTCAATATTTAATTTATTCTGATATTAGTAATAAGACATGTTAAATATGTATTTTGTTTAAGTTTTAATGACCTTTGTAATGTATAATTTTATTCATAACTCAAATCTCTGGTGATGTCATTGTCTTTAATTATATGGAAGTGTTATAAAACTATGACATTGTATTATAAACATTCCTGTTGGTAACGTATGTGCACTGAAGTTAGAATAGTTTTTATTGCAATTGAATAATACTTTATTTTAGATAATTTTTTTTAAACTACCAGTACAGGCTAACAAATATGACATGGGTTAGGGTTTAGTAGTTTATGACTAATACTCAGTTGTGCAAGGTATTGTCATCAAGTCCAGAATGTAAAAGCATTGCAATTTTGTGGTTTCCTTAGACTAGTATTGTTTAGTTTTTTATATATAGTAGTTACAATGAAATTTAAACACATTTTTGAGCAAAATGAATAGAACTCTCTATGTGTTAACTCTCTACAGTTTTAATATATTTTTTCATCCAAATAAAAAATAGTTAACACCATTTTATAAATGTATCCAACATTTGCACTCCCTAAACTAGCCTCACGGTCAATGGTTAATTCATTAAACAGGACGATAAAAATGAATTGTTCCTTGTGATTCTTATGAATCACGCAATATCGTCAGTGACAGCTTGGTGGTGGCTATGAATATGCAGTTCACGTCTGCCGCTAGGAGGGACTATATTATTAGATGCTTATTCAGATGTACGAGCTAGACTAAATAAATTAATACAGAGCAAAATTTTCAGGTTACCAAAAATTTACTCGTATTTAGTTGTTATACTGACTCAGAATGAATAAAATAATATTTTCCGATTAACGACACTGCCTCGGCTGCGTTTCATGGACGCGGGCGCAGTCTTATGCCTGGATAAGGTAATCAGTTTGGTAAATGCTAATGTAAAAATAAAAGTGTTAGCGCACTACGATACAAAGCAAAAACGTTGATTTTAATAACTAAAATTATAAGCAATATACCACCAGTACAGTTTATTTAAAAAATGTAATACACAAAACTTTCGTGGACAATTGTATCTTTCGTATATACGTCTGCAAAATTTCCTAAATTCTATTTATAACCTTAATAAAAGCCTTTGAATAAACTAATTACAAAAAATTCTAAGCCTTTTGTGTAAATAATGCAAGATAGCTTATATGAGTTAGCGTTTAGCATAATTAAGCTCTTTACTTCCGGCGGAAGGTTATCCGCTGGCTTCCTGCCAATCCGATACTCAATATTTTAAACTTTAATATGAGAAGCCTTATAGCTTAAGGCCTGCCCTTGTATTATTAAAGAAAACCGAACGTCTAAGTATCGGGCAATTCGGGAATTTTGTTTCATATACATAATTATAATTTTTTTATAAAAAAATAATCAAAAATAAAAAATGCGTTATATTTATTAGTTACTATTAAAAAGGATGCATTATGGTAGGGGAGCCCACGATGCTAAATGGGGATTTACTCGAGCGTCGTAGAGACCTATTGGGATGCAAAGCTTAGATAATAAGAAGAAAAAAATGTTATATGATAAATTCCTTTTCATCGGTGGGGGAAGCGGCTATAGATAGTTAAATATGTAAAAAAAAGTGTTGCATGGACATCCTCGAGCGCGTCAGATATTGATAGCATCTATGCCCTACGTATTTTTAATAATGTACGTATGTTAATCTGATCGTTTGCATGATGCGGGTGGTTGTATTTAAGGGTTGAAAATGAAAAAAAAAAAATTTATCGAGCGCGTCAGATTTTCTAAGGGAGTGTTAAGTGCACCAAAAAAAGCTCTCATTCACTAATCTGACGATTTCGATGGGACGCAAACCCACAGCCATTTTCATAATTTGCAAAAAAAATCGCAATTTTGAAATACTCAAGCGCGTCAGATTAAGATATATGTGGTTCATCTTTATGTTCTAAACGTACTGTCTCATAATCTGACGATTATCTAGAGGGATTCGCCTGATCTGACAAAAAAAATTTAGAAAAACGGTTCACCTAAAGGGCCATCCCTGCAACTTCCCGCTAATTCCATTCCTGGGCGCTTAAAATTGATATTTTGAGCTCGCTGAGTTCAAAGAAATAAATTTCTATGCATTTGAGCTCTCCCAGCTCGAAAGTCTGATAGAAGTTTCATAGAACACTATTTTTGGAATTTTCAAACCGCAATAACATTTGAATGGATCAAGCAATTTTCACGCGGTTGGCGGCATTCGACGCAGTTT